ACTTTATGCTATCTTCTGGACCTCATTTGTCCAGCATTATTAACAGAAGATTTATCTGTGGTAAAGTAGATAGTTCTCTTAAATTTGTTTTCACCTCTGCCTAGGTTTCATTTTGGAACTGTCCCATCATATCCACTTTCCAGGTGATGTGTACTTCATTAAAAACAGTTCTTTGCTTTTATAAACCATGTTGCCACGAATGCCCTTCATGAGTATTCAATGAACATTTCTGAATGTGTCCCGCTGTTGCTATCTGGAGTGGGTCTGTTAGGTCAGAGTTTCTTCATCTACAGTGTGACCAGTTAGTCCCCATTTCCACACGGAAGGAGTTGTAGCAATCTATGCCCTGCTCACGGTGGATGAGACCTCCCACATCTGTTGATGACATACATCTTGGTACTGGACCATGATTCAAATAGTTCTAATAGACTTAGAGTTTTATTTCTGTTTTTCTGGCTGCTAGTTGGACTGAGCCTCTGTTCCTATTTATTGACCTCTGGATTTCCTGTAATTTCAGTTGTCAATTCCTGTCCTTTGCTTAATTTTCTACTGAGTTATTTCTTATTGATTTATAGGCATTCTCCATAAATTCAGAATTCTAATTTGTCAATTTAAAGCAGTGCAGATACTCTTTCACAAGTAATTTGTCTTTGCTTTGGTTTGTAATGTTTTCCATTAAAGTTCTTTATTCTAATGCAGCCAGAGTATTTTTTTCATGTTTTTCATATCTTATAACTCATTTGAGAAGTCCTTCTGTCTTTCTGAGCCATGAGCTGACCAACTGTTTTTTAAAAGGTTTTATTTATTTATTTATTTAAATGTAGGAAAATTTATTGGAGAATTGGAATGGGGAATAGGAGTACCTCCTGAGAGACAGGAGGGGTCCTGAATAGGTTGCCTAAAAGGTTTTAAAATATTGTTTTTTATATGTAGGTAGTATTCAGTCTACTTTGAATTTATTTTGCTCATGGCTTCCGGTAGTGTGCACTTTTCTGTCTGTATCATCATTTGTCCCCAGCACTCTTTATTGTATCTTTTAATTAATCAGCATCACTGTCTTAGTTGTACCTCCAGCTCCCTCATGGTCATGCTTGTGCTTGTGCTTGTGGACTGTCTTTTCTTTCTTTCATTCATGTATTTTTCTACCACTGATCCAGGACCACCTCTAGTTTCATAACAATTTTTGATACCTAGTAGGCCAAAGTCCTCCAGAGATCGCCCTCATCATTGTTCTATGTTATATTTTTGACCCTTTGAATACCATTTAGAATAGCTTGTCACATTTTTCCCCCAAACAAGACTTTGTTGGGAATCTTTTATTGAATTGTATTAAATTTATGTAATTTTGGAAAGTGATGACTTCTGTGTTAGTCCCCTTCTGTGCTGGGGCAAAATACCTGACATGCGTAACTTAAAGGAGAAAAGGTGTATTTTGGCTCGCAGTCTTAGAGGTCTGTGTTTGGCCAGCTGCAAGTCTGACATATCATGGCAGAAGGACACAGCAAAGGAAAGCTCCTCCCTCATGGCAGCAAGAAAGTAAAGAGAGAGGGAGAGCAAGAGAACCAAAAAGAGCAGAAAGGGTTAGGGACAGAATGCCCCCTTGAGAGGGATCCCCAGTGACCTGCCTGCTCCAGCGGGGCCTAATAGCCCATTAAGCTTTGATCTCATCTATGCCTTAATCCGTTAATGAGATTAGTGCCTTCGTGATGTAATCACTTTTGTAGGACTCTCCTCTGAACATTGCTGCCTTGGGAGCAAGCCCTCATGTATGACTCTTTGAGGGTATCTTCATGTTTATACCATAACAACTTCTTTTTAAAAATACTAAGTCTTTCCATTGTTGAACATAGTACATTTCTATATTTATTTGTCTTCTTTACTATTATTGCATAAAACTTTATAATACTTTACCTAAGTGTATTATAACATTTTGTTACATTTATTCTGATCTGCATTGTAGACTATTAATATTATAAATTTATTTTATTAAAATTTCACCCTCTTAGTTAACATTTAGAAATATTGATGTTTTTGTTTTAACCCTTTATTCAATAACCCTTTGAACCTTGTTTTGCTAATTTTACCCCTGAAAAGCCAAAAAAGTTTACTGTTTTATTTTTCTTACCCCCACTACCACAATACACACAGTATAATTTGCATGAAAGCAGAGATCCTGTCTTTCCTGTTCATGTCCACATTCCAAGGGCTTAGAGTAGTGTGTAGCTCACAGGAAGGAATCGACTGATGTTATTTTAGGTGAATTAATTTATAACATTTTCAATTCTGGACAGAGAAAGTAATGCATGTCCACCCTACTAAGATAGGTCTCACAAACTGCTTTTTGTGACAGAGTGTATTTCCCTGGTAGTCTGAGCCTCTCCCCCAGCTTGACCCTAGTGTCCCACAGCAATTATGCTCTACTGTGCAGCTTGGCCTTTGCTCCCTTCTCTTAAACCCAGCAAGTCTGTCTATCCTACAAAGACTTGTTCTCATCCTAGTTCTTCCAGGAAGCTTTCTTGGAGTCTCTGTTCTTTAGAAAGATGGATCCAGAAAAACAAAAGCAAAAAGCAAACAAGAATTAAAAGTAAACTCTGTGCTCAAACAGAGCATGAACCTTAAAGAAAATCAAAGTGATGTGGAAAGATACATAAAGCAAATGATATTGTGGTGCACCCAAAATGGTCCTGCAGTCTGGGAAAAGAAATTAATTTATGAGTAACAGAAAACAAAGATCCACCAATATATCATCATGTCAGCGATTAGAAGGAATAGAAACACGAGGTCCAAACGCCCCCACACTCAGACAGTGAGTCAGAAAAACAATGAGAACAAAAATGTACTCTGTATTGAGGCTGCTCATTCTGGTGCAGTTTCTTAAGTACTGAGTTCTGCAAGTGAAAACAACATTTATTTGAGTCTTTTATTCCAGGCTTAAAAATATCACCTCAATTTCTCTCCTCTGATAAATGTTGTACATGTTTCCATTGCTGATGAAAGATTTTGCTGTGATTAAAGATTTCATGAAGTTATGACACAGGCAGAATAGATCTTCATTCTTGGAAGCTCATTTTTCTCTGAGCTGAGTAAAGAGGCTTCTTGTCGGCAGCTGTCAGAACTAATGAGTATTTTTCAGGTGCTGAAACTCTGGGGCATTCATTGCCACCCAGAGCTCCAGAATCAGCCAACACAAACCTGTCATCTGAAGATGGGTAGCATCACATCGACACCATAGTCTGCCCCCAAAATAGTGACACTGTGCTTCTGCCTCCGTCCTCCCTTCAGAAGTCACACATGCATGCCCTGAGAAATTGATACTTCACAGATTTCCTGTAGCCTTTTGATAGGGTACATATCTGTGTATGTGAATATGTGTGGGCCCTGGGCATACTAGGGCTGTGTACTGGTTCCTTTTCTAGAGAGAATAGGGGATGGGTGTGGCCTTGGGACCTAGTCTTTTTCTGCTGTGAAGGCAAAGGATCTAGAGCTCTAGGTCTGGAATCCTGGTCAGCACCCCTGGACCTTTGTTCCCTTCTGAGCCGCCTCTTCCTTGTGGCAAGTGTGGTATTGATGGCTGCCTCTTAGTGCTGTGGAGATGCAACCACGAGGTGTGGGCAGTGAGGTCAGTCCTCTTCCTTCTTTGGCTTGGCTTTCCCACGAACTAGCAAAGCCTTACCTACACTTGGGGATTGCATTTGCAATTCAAGTGCCTTTTGAAAGGTCATGTTTTGAAGTCACACAAGCTAGAAATGATCAGAGCACAGATCACTGCCTGATTACCAGCCCACTTCAGTTTACCCTGCCCCTTTAAGGAGGAAGGACAGTGCTTCTGCTAAGTTGCTGTCATCTTTGTCAGCTCTGGCCATGCTGTTTAAATCAGCAAACATCTATTGATTACCTGTCACATGCAAGCTGTGATACTTGATATTTGCAGTACTGTGTTGGGTTTAGGCAAGCATTCAAGTATAATGGAGACCTAATAAATAGTGGCTAACACAAATGAAGCATGTGTTGTTGGCTTTTTAAAAATATTTCACCCATACAGCTAATAAGACTGGAGGGAGGAGGCAGAGTGGGGCTATAACAACTGCTCTGGATATTGTAGGTTCTCAGGCTGCTTCTGGCCCATCTGCTATCGGCAACCTGAGTTTTCTTGGTTTGTCTCTGAATGGTTGCTGAGTTTCAAGGCGTGCAGCTCACTTCTAGGGTGGGAGGGAAAGGAACATGGGAAGCTATGGGTGGAATCTGTCTCTTCTCAAGGCAATGTCCTCTGTCTGGCATGAAAGTCTCCAGAACCTGTGTCTTGTTGGCTGGAACTTTACTGCATGTACCACCCCATTGCTGCAAGGAACAATGGAACTTGACTGTCTTCCTTTCCTCACCTCCCAAAGAATGAAGTTCCAAGCGGGTAGCTAGGTAAGCTATGTCATCTGTCACAGGTGAATGAGTATAGACATCTCAGGGTAGGAAACTCATAGTGGTATATGTATAAGCATTCATGATTTAGTTCTTTGTATTCTGGTTCCCATATCTTGCTTGTTACCTGATAGCCGAAAGGTTCCTATGTCAACAATGAGAGAAGTAGCTAAGATATTTTTCTCATTGCTGAGACAGTTCCTTATCTGGACATCACCTTCACTGATGACACCATGTGCCAGGTATGAGTATGATATTACTTGAGCTCAGCTTCTAGTTCTTGCCATATGCTGAGGCTTGGAGAATTGAGTTGCTTTCCAAGGCCACTTGCTTTGTAAAGGCTAAGTTGTAAGCATGTGTCCCTAGGGGCAAGGAGGAATCTGATATACAAACTCAATATTTAGAACTCACATTCACGTTCAGAATAAGTCTCCGTAATCCTTTGTGTTCAGTGGCATTTATGAAAAGGTAAATCACACTTCCACATATCTTGTAAAAGTGGAAAATTCTCAGAGAACAGAAAAAGGCAAAATTATTCTGCTTTTGCTGTTGGAGAATTCTGAACTTTCTCTTGTCTTTGCACACAGTACCCGGCAGTGCCACCTGCTTCTGGATGTCTTCAACTCCACAGAGCATGAGCTGACAGTCAGTGCCAGACGCAACGAGGAGCTCATCCTTCATGCTGGGGAGTGCCAGCGGTAAGTGGCCTGTGAATAGGGAGCCAAGGGGAAGTGAGAGCTGGTTGGGAGCATGACCAGGGCAGAGAGCATGCCAGCAGAGAGCATTCTCAGGGCTGTGGCATGTCCCTGAGCAGACAGAGCTCGCTGATGATGTTGGGAAGATGCAGAGCTCCTTGGTTGAGGCCTGGCCACTCCCCACACCAAGAAACTATGCCTCCAACTCTCCCCTGCATTTTAGGGGAATACTCTTCTAGATGGAAATTTTAAAAATTTTTAATTGCAAAATACTGCAAACATACAAAAATCAAACTAGCATATCTACATACTAGACTTAAGCATTTTTCTATATTTGCTCCAGAACTCTCTGTCTCTGTCTCTGTCTGTCTCTGTCGCTGTTTTATTTTAAAGAAATAATATTTTTTAAACAGCTGACATTAACATTAGTAGTCAACAGGGAAATGCAAATCCAGAGCCAAACTACAGTGAGATCTTATCACACATTTATCAGAATGGTTAAATTAAAAATGACAACAATGACTGTTGGTGAGGATGTGAAGCAACTGGAACTCTCACTCCTCGTTGTCAGGGGTATGAAATAGTACTGTCACTGTGAAAAAAATTCTGGCACTTTCTTAAAAATCTAAACATATCCTTTGCCCAGCTGTTGCAATCATATGTTTTATTCAAGAAAATTTAAAACATACATGATTACAGAAAGGCTTATACAACAATGTTCCTAAACCAAAAAATAGAAAGAACATTAGTGATACTTACAGAAGAATGTATGAACAATTTGTGGCATTTTCCTACAAACAGAGTAGTACCACAAAACAAAAATGAATGAACTACTCATATGAGAGAGCATGATAAATCTCAGGGGTGTTATGGGGCATAAAAGGAACCTTATTCCAAGGAGCATGTATTGTGTGATTTCATTTATGTGATACCCTGGAAAGAGCAGAATCTGTCTACGGTGGAAAAAGTGAGGACATCAGTTAGTTATTTCTGAGGGACTGGTATGGGTGTGACACAGAATAAGCAGAAGGTAACTTTCTGGGTGATGGTCGAGTGGGATAACTCAGGGGTTTGAGTTATACAAGTGTATACACTTGTTAAAACCCAGCAGATATTCACTTCTAACTTATACCTTTCCCTGTGTGTGAATTTCACATCAAAAGAAAAAATGGTCAACAGATTTGGGGCTTTATTTAAGATATACATGCTGAAGGACTTGGGGTCTGTCCTAGTTAGTTTCTTGTTGCTGGAACAAAAACGATATACCCACACATGACAGGAGGAAAGGTTCATTTTAAGCTCATAGTTTGTAGAGGTTTCAGTCCATAGTGGTGTGGCTCCAAGCCAGAGAGGCATGGTGGAAGGCCATGGCAGAGTAGAAACAATTTTTGGCATGACAGGCAGGAAGCAGCAGCCTTCATTTTGCTTCCCCTTTTGTTCTACCTGGGCTACAAGCCTATTGGTTGGTGCCACTCATACCCAAAGTGGGTCATCCCTCATCAACACCCAGCTGTGTTAAACCAGACAATGTGCTAATCCAGTATCACTCATCCCACCTGTGATCCAGTCACTCCCCGAAGCCCCACCTAGGAGTGCATGAGCCTTTGGGAAACATCTAGATATAGGCTATAACGGGATCTATGATGTCTACAGTAGTCTTTGAATTGCATAGCAGGTCAGATGGGTTAATAGGTAGGCAGAGAGAAGGGCAGAGGGACAGACAGAGAACAATGTTCACTGCAGTGTCTCCCAGTGGACACACAGTACAGTATTTACTGTGACATTCTTTCAACTTTATATGTGAGCGGTTTCAAAAGAAAATGTTGGGGAAAGTAAAATAAAACATAGCTAAATCCTAGTGCCCACCTACCTCATGCCATCTTCCTTTCATCCTCAGGTGGCTCATGTTTTGGTGGTGGTGGTGGTATCTACATGCATGTTTTATTTATTACTCTTACTGTCTCTCTCTCTATATATAGCCACAGCCAAACATTATTTTGAGAGTTTCCTTCCTTTAAAAAAATGACATGAGTGATTTTCTATCATATATATCCTTTAGAAACTTGCAATAAGCATTATACTTTGGAGCTAAATATGAATCTAATTCTTTCATTTGGACTGCTATTAATATTTCATTGTGTAAATATGGCACCTTATTCATTTCTATGCTAATGCATTTGCTATGAGGTGGCTTCCAGGGTATTTATATTTAATGTGATCGTTAATGACAAATGAATGTAAAGTGAGGCTGTGAAGCCCTGTAGCAGGACAGATTTGAGTGACAGTTGGAATTTGGAGACCCATTGGCTAGGGGGAGCACTTATGACCTTCCTTTGAGAGAAACCAGCAAACCCTCCCAGAAGCACACTTGTTGTCATCTTCTGGAATGAACTTGCCATCTTGGGGCAGTTGTGTGCGGGGTTTCCTGTGTTCTTTCTAGGGCTGTGCCCTGCAGGCTGGGCAGATGTGGGTCCGCTTTCTGAGGTCACTCACGTCACAAGGTGCTCTTCTTCTTATTGTGCAGGGAACTGCCTGACCTCTATCCCATCTCTGTCTAGATGTTTTGATGTAGTCCAAGAACCATGAGAACATAAATCTAGTCTTCTTATGATACTAGTATAAAACAGTTTTAAAAAATTATAGCTTGCTAACTTGTTTTGTGGAGTAAGCTCAAATTATTCTTGGCAATCGATAATTGAATGATATTAACAACACCAGTTGCAAATAATTGCAATTTGGTTATGTGCTTCAGGCCTCTTCTTTATTAAGCTTTTTGCTTAACTTCTCATTTCTGAATACTCCTAACTCATATATTCTTTTATTCATTCATAAAATATTCATTCAGTAAATATTGATACTTTGAGAACTAACTATGTGGTAAGCCCTGCATCAGGTGTCAGGAGTGCCATGATGAATACATAAGGACTCCAAATAGTAGGGGAGCAGCAACACAGTATGACAGTGAAGTATTTAACCCAGCTGGGTTGCCAGTGAGGATACCACCCCTTTGTTGCCCACTGAGGGCATCTTGCCCATCTGGTCAGGTAAGAGCAGTGGGTATATCAGAGGCCATGTATTACATCTACCTGAGAAGTCATCTTTGCTCTGTCCCCAGATGCCTACTAGCCTGTGGGGAATCTGCTGAAGTCTGCGTTGGGAAAATTCCAGTCCTGAAGGCCTAGGGTGCAGTTCTTAGGAAGCAGTTCAGGTGGAGGAAGCAGAAGAGGTTGTGACTTACTTGGCAGCATTGGGAAGCACCTTATGGACCTTGGCTTTGGGCATGGCCTCCATGTACCCAGTCTTTGCCTCCTCAGTGCCCTGTCTCTTCCCAGTGTCTGAGTTCAGCCTCTGACTCTAATCTGTCCTTCCTCTATGAGGAGCCTTCCATGCTGCTCCTCAGATTTCACTAGATGCTGAAGAAAGCTTCCCAAGAATGTAGGGGTGGGCTCTGGCTGTAGAGGGACAGGAAGTAGTGGCAGAAGTGGACTTCAAATTCTTACTTCATCTCCTCTGGTGGGTTATGCTCTCCCTAGCCCCTGGAAGTAGGTGAATGCACAATGTGTTTGCCTGGAGGGAGCACAGCCTAGGGTACAGAAGGAGCCACATTCCTGGAAATAGCATGGCTTCATTGCTGCCCCTTGCAAGGCTACTGCACTTGAGGCCAGCCTGCATTCCCAGACAAATACCTATTTCAGCTTGTTTTTCTTTTTCGGTTGAAATGGGTTTGACTCTTCCTTCTGGTAGAAGGAGATATGTTATCCAGCACAAAAGCCATGGATATAAACCAGTTCTGTTTATTTTTGCTTTCCCTGCTTTGTTCAACCTTCAGAAGGTTGTGGTCAGCATTGAAAATGACAACTTCAGCCAACAGAGAAAAGGGCAAGGGGATGCATTGGTCAGCTTTGTGTTAGTACAATGAAATGCCTGAGGCACCTAGCTTACACAGGACAAGGTTTATTTAGCTCAGGGGATTCACAGTCCAAATAGCACAGTGCAGCCTCTGCCAGGGCTGCCATTTGGCTGTATCACCCCTTGGTACATGGCAGATAGCAGTGACGGGAGCAAGCAAGCAATTACACGTGGACCAGGAGTGGAGCGAGAATGGGTGGGGCAAACTCAATTTTTATAGCCGTTTTCTTATGAGAATGACCAAGTCTACTTCCCAAGAGCCACCTTTGGAGCCTCCCCACCATACCTGAGGGATTCCTTCTATACTCCAGCCCCAAGCGCTCCACAGCACTTCCTACAGCACCACTCCAGAGATAAGGCCAGGGTGTAGTGGGCCCTTGGGAGCATGCAGACTCACCCAGAGCAAGGGAGTAGGAAACTATCCATCAGGGGCCAGGCTCTACCAAAGGTTAGGATGATTAGTAAATGTAGTGCTGTTTTTGGCCTCACAGTGCTTACATTTTGGTGTAGGAGAAACAGACAAACCGATGATTGTTACACAGCTTGAGGAGAATTGAAAGCACACAGGAAGGCATCCAGTCCAGGTTCAGGCCAGGGAGGCATCTGGGAAGGCCTCCTAGCAAAAGTGATATTTATTTGAACATGTCTTAGTCTATCCATGCCACTGTAACAAAACTCTGTAGTCTGTAGGGTTTATAAATGACAGGAATATATTTCTTACATTTCTTCCCAGATTGCTGACTTTTTCTGTATGCTGACATGCAAAGGTGAGGGAGCGCTTGGGCCTTCTCTTCTAGAGGCATGGGTCCGATTCACAAGAGCTCTGTTTGCCTGACCAGTCACTTCATTCCCCTGCCCCCCTAATCACATTGCACTGTGGATTAATATTGCAGTGTACAATTATGTGAATTTAGGAGGGACACAGATATTCAGACCGTTGTATTTTACCCCAGCTCCCCCAAATTCATATACTTCTCACTTGCACAGTGTGTCCATCTTATTCCAGGGTTAAGATCTTAACTTTCCAGGATTAGCATGTTTCCACTGGCTTGTACCACCAGTGGTTCAGAAGTGCCTGGCAGTGAGACATAGGT